AGACGCTACAAAATGAGCTGGACAAGTTAAAAGAGGTAAGCAATTGTCAGGAAAGGCATGCAGAGCAATGTTGGTGGGTTAGATGGGAAATTTGATGCACAGGTGTCTTAGACTTGATCTTACATGAAATGCTTTTCAATATTGCTTGTACGATTGCTCAAAAGGTCTCCTTTGTTACATGTCCCAAATGCAGTGATAGTTTAGAAGCAATAGAGATGTGGATGATGTGGCTTTTGTCTGTGCCTTCTCACAGGACTTCTGTCCCATTTTAAATTGTCTTCTTAAAACCTCTCTTTCTACTAGAGCAAAACCCTTTGATTTGACTCCAGCTAGCTCTGGCTCTCCTTTGCACAGACTGGGACTTCCACCTACTTGAAAGTCAAATGAGGTGTGCATGACTTGTCTCTGAGAGGATGGTTCAGATAGGCAAGCCGCCGTTTTGGCTGATACTCTTCAGTGGTGACAGTGGGAGCCACCAGAATGAGCTAGGCAGCAGGAATGTGGTCTGTTATGTATAAATAACATTGCACTTCAGGCACAGAAATGCTGCCTCTTGAGAAAAGGGATCATTTCAACTGGAGCTGACACATAGTCATACTGGGTGAAGTGATGATCCTTGGAAGCAAGTGAGCTGAGGAGCAGGGGACGGTAAAGGAAAGCCAAATACTAAGCATGGCTCTTTGCTGGAGCCCAATGTGTAGCAGTATTTCTGTTCTCTTAACAGTACAGCAGATTGACATCTCACAGCCTCTGCTCTGTTTTAAACCAGATTGAGATAGAGCATTTAAACATAATGAGGTAAGGCATTTATCCTCTGAGCCCTGGTCAGATTTAGAGAGCTGGTGCAATTATGTGTTATTTTAATCTTTCAAACATTGCTTGCGAGTCAACTGGCACAAAGCCTGGCTCAGTTTTATAAGGACAACACCTATTTAACTTCTCTTGCGTTTGAGTTATCAGTGGTCCAGTGCAAGAGTTTTGGAGTATTTTGTACCTAACAGAACAGATCATCACCTGGTGTAAATATCAGGGTTGCTTAGATTACTTATGAACCTGACACAAAGGATGAAGTCTGCATGATGTTTTAGCTATTCTTATTTCTCAATGTTATTTGTGAATGCTGTGCTTAATGGACAATACCGTGTTACAGGGTCTGCAGTCTATATTCCGTACAAAAATACCATCTCATTCACATGAACATATTGCTTGTTGTTGATTAACATGCAGGTCCGCTAGGTACTGCTTGGTCATCTTTGAGATTAAACAGCTTGAGAAATTAAATTGTGGGTGACCAGTGGGGGAAAAAAAGAGATCCAGCAGTGCTGAAGTCTCAAGGTAGCTCTAACCAGGCTGAATTTGCCTTGCTACTTAGATTGCTACAGTCTAGCCATGCTGGGAAGCTCCATTGACTCTGCTGCTTCTCTGCTGCATTGCGAAGCAAAGTGAATGCACCCTTACTTTCAAAGAGGGCTTTGCACCCTAAGAGGCAACCGCTGGAGGAGAGCTAGGGAAAGGGAAAGATAGCAGGTAGAATGATGGGATGAATTCTTCTGATCTGGAGATACAGCAGGGCATAAAGTGGATCATAAGATGTAGTAGTAGCAGCAGTAGAGATAATCTGGTTTCTCATACCATGAGTTGTGGTTTCTCTGGCAGTCAGAATTTCACAAGGTCACAGTAGGTGACAAGATGGAGGTTTGAGTCCTTGACATGTCATACTGGGACAAATGAGCCAAAAGCTGGAGAAACACAGCAATGTGTGTGTCAGATAAGTATGTGTTGGTAATGTTGTCAACGTTACTAAAAAAAAAGAAACTAGTCTTGACTCAAGATGCGTTCAAATATCTACCAGAAGCAATGCCTTCTTAGAAACATTTAATATGTACAAAGCTCTAAAGGAGCGTATTACAGACATGCCAGTGGGAAAGCTAGTGCTTTATATATCAGGAGAAAAGTGACCCAAAGGCCATGTAGCTTCTTCCCAATCCACCCTGACTATGCATCTTGTCTATCTAAAAGCTGACAGTTAGAAGGAGCATTTTTCCTAACCAGTCCTAGAGCACTGCCTGAGGCCCAGTTAGACAGTATTCACCCTCTGATATAGCTCACTATATGCTCATTTCCTGTAATATCCTTGACTATTCTCAGCCCTTTTCCTTTATCATCCTCTGATCAACAAAAACGTTTTCTCACATCCATGTTCATGTTTATTACTTAATTCAGTGCTAGTTTCTGCTTTGGTCTGCTGTACAATTCCCTCGGGTTCAGTTTCTCACTGCAGTAGATGGCATGTATGTTAATTACCTTTAACGTGTTTTGCATGCTAAAATGTCTTTAGTAATTGTACACATCTCTGAAAACCACTCTTTCTTTAAAACCACCTTTAGTTTTTACCATAATCTCTTGAAGAATTCCTAATGTTTATCATGTTTAGTGCTGTTGCATATTTTTTATCCCAGTACCTGTTTTCATCTCCTGTGATACTTTTAACAGGATTTCTTTGGTGTAAAATGCATACAGACTCATTCTATCTAAATAAAATTCTTATTTCCTTAAGAAAGAAACCTTACAGGTTTAACTAGGAAATTATTTTTTTACCTCCTACTGACCATGTAATTTCAAGTTGTTGTCATAAATAGGTATAAGATAGACTTTCCTCTTTGTCACTAAATAATATTTCTCAGTGGGTCTTACCTTTGCAAATAATCCTTCACAGTCTCCCCTCCCCTCTCTCTCCTGCTGCTAAAGCACTTCCCTCCCCAGTCCCAGATGCTTCTGGATTCCCATTTCATGACATACTTGCAGAAGTTTATCAAAATCTATCGAAACCACATCTAGACTCTTGTTTTGTTCTGGTATCTGCAAATACTCCCCACCATCAAAATATTCTGATTTTCACTGAATGTTTCTGTAAGGAGCTGTCACATGATCAGTGAGTCACTTACAGGTTTTTTAGGGTAATGCCACCTGTTTCCCTTTGTTTTTTTCCTTTTTTTTTTTTATAAGAGTACTCTATCCCTTCAGCCTTTTGCTGCATTTCCTGTGTTTTGAGCTAAGATATGAATTGCTAAGGATGTTTAATGAATGCTTGTGGATTTTATCCAATTCTGCTGTCTTCCAGTTAGACATCATTTTTCTCTGAACATCTTCATCAGTATCCTGGCATTCGCTTTGCTTACTCATGCCACTCTACTTCCTTTTTTATTCAGTCCTGTTAGCCAAAAGATTATATGGTGCTTTCTTTTCCGTAATACTTCATATGGGTTTTTTTAAGATATTATTTGTTTATCACAGTGTAGGTTCATCATCTGCTACTCTTTCCTGAAATACTTCCACTGATTCTTTTGAAGCTGCTTCTTTCACTGGGTTATAATGTTTTCTCACTGAATATTTTTTGACTTTACTGACTGTACTAGGTTTTTCTGTTTCAGTCAAACTGCTGCAGCACTGTGGTTCATTGAATTTTTTCCATGATTACATTCACCTACTTTTTCACTTTTCCTTTTTCATATCTTCCCTTTCTTTTTCTTTTTTTTTTCCTATGAACTTTTCAACTGGTTTGGGGCTGCCATCTGGTACTTTTTTTGCGGCATTCTCCATCAGAGCTTCAGAGTTTTCCTACTGCTGTGAACACTTCTTTGTAGCATATCCTGGAATGTCTCTGAGAATGATCCCTTCTAGGAATTCGCTAGGATTTTCTGTGACTTATGAAAGCTGCTTCCTCCTTACAACTTTAGAAGCAAAGGCAGTGTGCCCTCACAGATTCAGTAAGTACACATATCCCTGCCAAGGCTTGCTTGCTTTTTTTCTCTTGTTGTCTGGGTTATTAACATTGCCATTTGAGTCAATACGCTGCCAGGAGAGAAAAAAAATTACTCCATCACTAACAAATTACCTCAGCAACATCTCTGCAACTGTCATTTCCCCCTTCCTAATATCCTAATGCATCTCCTGAGAAATACTGGTGTATGTTAAGAATTTCTCTCTGTCAACCAACCAGCAAGCATTCAGAACACTTTTTTCCAAAATTTCCTTTCCTTTACATCAATGCAAAATCCTTAGCAACTCTCTTCCGAGAATCTACAAACCAGAACTTTTCTCAAAGGCTTGACAATAGCAAGTGGATTTTCTTTGAGAACTGAACATCTCCACTCAACATCTAACTCATCCAAAGCATCATTTCCTTGGAGCCACCAGGGCATCTTTAGGGAACTTCTTCCTTATATTTTCTCTGGAAAGATATTTCCCAAATAGATGATCTATTTTTAGTATGAGTGTAAACAACTATGAAGTCATACTTGGCAAGTGTTGAGTGCCCTTATGTACAATGGTCATTAATTGCCCTGTAAGCAATACCTCTCAGAGTAATCCTTTCTCTAAAAACTCTGTACCTTGGGAAGAACAGACCATTTTTGCTACTTGCTGTAGGAAATGCACTGAGATGGCACATGAGACAGCAGCAGGACCTGCTCCTGTTCCCCAAAGGGAGAATGAGTCAGCTGCTTATTTGCAGCTGCTAATTGTGTGTTTTCTCATGTCCTTTGTCTGGGTTTGGCATTAGCCAGGGTAGAGAGAAGAGGCAGAGCTGTGGCAGCACTGACACTGCTGGGGAAGCGTAGCCCTGCCAGATCAGACAAAGAGAGGGGAGGAATAAGGTCAGGAGTAGCAGCTGCTGAAAGATTTGATGTAAGTACTATGAAATGGTTTAGCAAGAAAAGAGTGAGAAGTGTGTAACTGGGAAGAAAGGGGCATTTATTTCTTGCGTGTTTGCTGTACCGAGCAGGTGACAGCCTCTCTTATTGCCACTGAAAGCAAAAGGACTGGAGGGGGAGCAACCGGAGGTGTTGCTTTCTGTCTTGCAAGGACGTCTGGCGTAGCAGCCACCTCCCATGTGACACTGAGATTTTCTTGGTCAGCTCCTAACTTCAGTTGACATCGTTTGTGTTTTGAGGCCTCCGGATTGTTGGGACCACTAGAGACACAAGTGCTGTTCTCTGGGCATGTTCACTCAGGAAATCACTTCTGGCTGATGGAGAATGATGGCTGCAGCTCACATTCACTGGTGTTTTTACAAAGAAGGATAGACGCAAAATGGGAAGTCAAGTAATACTGTTCCCATTCATTTCTGCATGAGAGGAGAGAAGTACAAATCCACTGTCCATTAGTAATGTCTCCAGCACATATCTCCAGGACACAGACTGAGATGAAAACCAGTACATACTATAAATGGGCTTTCCCAGGTTACCTGTGGGCTTTTTAGGGCAGTGGCATCCCTAAAGGCTCTTTCATCCAGGGCTTACTTGCTAATGGGGATGCTGTGATGCCTAAGCTTACTCTCTCCTCCTCCCCTGCAGCACCTGATTTTCAAGGCACAGTTCAACAACTGCTGCTTTTAACAGTCAAAGAAAATTTTTTGTTAAAATATCTGTTCATTTTAACAGAGTGAAAAGGTGCATTCAGAAGCTTATAAAACTGATAGAGTTATAGAAGATAAGATGAAATGTCTTTCAGGCATATTATTTAGAGACAAATTTTGCTTCTCAGTGCATGTGCACTGCTCTGTTTAACATCACTAGAGGTGGAGAGCATTTTGCCGAGGGAAGAATTCAGCTCTACAAACATAATATAGCAAAATGAAATCTGGAGGCTACTCCTTGGAGCTGAGTGTGACAGTGATTTTCATTGCTATGAACCTTATAAGTAGGGCATACTATATGCCACATGAGTGTAAAGTGTGATTATTCCAATCTGAAATCACATTTTCTCTTTTTTCTCTTATATAAATATACAGATATGGTGTGAAGTGATACACAAATGGTGAAGAAATTATTTTTAGTGAAAACACACTTGTTTGTATAAAACATTACCCATATTTTCATTAGCTAGGACTTCATACATGTTTATTAATGTATCCCATAATGTTTTTCAGTCATTTGTCAAATGAAGTTTACTCACTGAAGTAGGGCTATACTGTGAGAAATCTTTGATTTTTGTAATGTATGACTTTTTTTAGCTATCAATGAGTTTACGTGATGGAAAGTTTATGAGAAACAGGGCAAGATTCAAGTAACATTAAAAGGACTAAGCAAGAACACCATGTTGACTCAATAACCCTTCTTAGAACTTAGTGCTTGTGACAGTTATAAGTAATGAAGTCTTGTGCAATAATCATAACTTACCCCATTAACTGCATGAAAGTTTTACCGCAGCACCATTTTGTCTCCAGTATCTTTTTTTTACTGTGATAAATAATGAATTGGTACCTAAACCACAGTGAATGATTTATACTTGTTATGGCATTTCAGGAGCTGTACAGATAGTGAAATGGCCTGTCCCTTATCGGTACCAAAAAACAGAGTGGAGGGAACACATGGGAATGGATCTGGCTGGACTAGAAAAACATAATAATTAGGAAGCAAACTCAGTAACATGATTTTTTTCTTTTTCAAAGCAATTATATTATACATCTTCTAATACGCTGCCCACTTTGTTTTTTAGAAATATAAAAATATCTTTGAACAAAAGAACACCTGAAATTTTCAAAATGTTTTGAAAATTTGTTATGCTTATAAAGGTCTCTTACGCTTATAAATGCCCCTCCCCAAACAGTATCTGCCTCTGAATTCATGATTTACCAAATAAATTGCCACCAAGCTTTGGCTAGTCTTTTATTTTCTAGGTATTTGCTATTTTTCCACACTTGCCAGCAATCTACTAACACTACTTCCAAATCCGATTATAATTTTTGAAGTGAGTGATTTTGAGATAAAGTAATAGTGATTCTGCTGATCACATCCAGAATTTTGTCACATTCAAAACCCCCTGTTCTTCTGTTACTCTGCCTGAGCAGATCACCTCATCCCAGACACAGGCTTCAGCTAACTCACCCCTTTCATTACTCCCAAATGTTTTTAAAGACCACACCTAGCTTTAGCATATGGAGAAATTACGTTTAAGTGATGGCAGCTACAGCAGGAAAAATGACCTACTGTAGCTGCATGATAGTCCAGGTACTGGTTAGATATAAGGATACCTTCTTTTTCTGGTAACTGAAATTCCTTTATACTCCATCGATCATGCATTTTTCTTACTACATAGCAGAAGTCTTTTGGTAGCTAAAAGACTGCTACTTTTTCAATAGCAGAGACTGGTGTGGAGATAACCTCCACGAAGCTCCAGTTGTGTATCAGTCTCCCCATCCTCCACCCAGTTACCAAAAATAATCCTGCTGTCTGTCACATGGGCTTTCAGCAGTGACAGTGCAAACAAACTGTAGCCTCTGTGACATTTTCATTTGAAAAATATGAATTTATTTTTCACTCCTTCCCTTAATTTATCCATAACATAATTAAAGGTTTTCTTCAGCAAATCCTTGCAAAATATTGGTAGCAAATCCTTCAAGCGTTGTTCTGGGGCAAAAAAATAATTGTATGCTCTCCATATTCTAAATCATGTTTCAACTGGGGCATAAGTCCCATGTGAAGACAGTACTCTTTGCTTTTCTTGCCAAGGTGTGGGCAAGACTGTTTCAGGACAAGCAAACTTTTGCTGCATACTGCTGTTCTGTGAACAGAAGCTGTGATTTAAAGCTAGAATATCCACAGCTAAATGTACACTGAAGCTGATTGGGAATATCCCATATCATTCCACTCTCTGGTGAAATTCAGATCAGCCACCATCTGGTAACGATTCATGGGGGAAGCATCATGCTGTATGCAGTGTTTGGGGTGGAGGTGGGTACCAGGGCACTGCAGTTTCGGAGGTATCTCATCCCTGCCCTTCCTGCTTTTCCACCCAGGGCTCAGAGAATCCAGCACGGATCCTAAGTGAATATAGCCTTGAGCATATGAGGGAGATCCAGCTGAAGGAGAAAGGGTATATAAACCTGTAAAAAAGCTCCCTTTGTTTGGCACTCAGTGCAAGCTGACATCACCATCAAACCCAGTGCCACCACTGCTGGGAGGCACAGCTTCACTGCCACCCTTTGGCTGGCTCACAGTGAGCAGGCACCAACTGTTTTCATCTCACGTCGCCGGTAATTTCATCCCAGCATCTGGAGCTCTGGGTAGCGGGACGGAAAAGAGGAAGAGACAGTCTGTCAGGGTGAGAAGAGGAGCTTTGTGAGATGCATGGTTTCTTAACAAATTCTCCAGATTGCCTGTGGTTTTTGTTATGATGATGCTGCACATAGGAATGTGTCGCACTGGAGCATTGGCAGCCATGGGGACGGCACTGTCCAGAAATGCTTAGGAAGGTGAAAAAAATCCAGAGCTATAGATTTTTGTCCTTCTTTGAAAGGGTTAATTGATTATATCTCTTCTGAAATTAATTATTTACACTTGCTTCTCTAGCTCTATTTTTAAAAGGAGAATGTAACTTATTGCACAGATAACTTATGAATTATTAACATCACACTACTCAAGCTGTCAGAGGATGAATGAGGAGGAAAGATCTGACCCTCTTGGCAAATTTTGCTTTGCCACATGCTATGGCACTGGACTTTCCCCCTTCCCTACACCTGGCACTGTGCAGGTAAGCCTGGCTCCACTGTCCAAAGCCTTACTGGCTGAAAGACAGCCCAATTTGGCAGTGCGCCACATGTTGCCTGGATCTGTCAAGAAGTTCTCTGTTCCCGTGGAAGGGAAAAATGGAGTCAGTTGGTGCAAGCAGGTCAGGAAAAGGGTTTAAGTGGCAAAGAGGTGGAATTAAGCAGTTGTTAGTCTTCAAGCAAATCAGCACATTTTGCTGCTCCCTGTAAATAATCTGTTTCCTTGTGCCACAGATGAAGATACTTTCACCCATCCTGCTCTTTTCAAAAACGTAATCCATGCCAAACCAGTGGCATGTGCAGTACTTCAGCCCCTTTCTCATCCCCGTAGGAGTGATCCCAACACTCCCACTGGTATTCTCAGCAGTTATATTAGGGGGAGCTCACTGCAAGGTCAGCATACTTTTCCACCCCATTCCTACACTCAGCCTGCTGAAAAATGCCTGGGAAGGAGACAGTATCTGTTCTGTGGGAGGAAGCATGGCAAAGCCTTTGCTTGATTTAGGTTTAGGTTTGATGTGCCTTGATGTGAGAAAGCCTGAAGTTCCTTTTAGTACCCATAATGGTGGTTCATTCATTCTAGAAAAATGACACAATCTGCCCAAATGGGTACGTTATTTCTGATTTCTGTGTTTATTTTTCTTTTTACTGTATACTTTGTCAGATGGAAGCTCAAGCACAAATTAATATAAACATTACAAGATATTCTTTCTTATCTAGCATGAAAATTTTAGGTCTTGCTCCAATTATAGTAGCCAGAGCTGGGGAGGGTAAATGGTGCTGATATTTAGAGACATCAACATGATGTCTACGTGGGCAGAAGAAGTACAACGATCCATCTGAGACTGCCAGATGTACGTATTAGTCTATTTAAGGCCTCTTTCTCAGGGATCACTCCAAAATAGTTACAGTCCAATCTCTACAGCATGCTCTCTACAGTCAGCTGTACAGAGAGAAAGTGGGTCTTGTGCAGAGATTGGTGAAGGCAGCTCTCCTCATTCTTGCTGTATGCAGAGTTCAGGATAAATTCCCATCCCTGAGTTCAGTGGTGTCAAAACCAGCAGACTTCGAAGGGATGAAGGAGGGAATAAAGTAATTAAATTATAAGATAAAACAGTTCTAAGGCAGATGGAAATCTGAAAACCTTTAAGTTGCTTTTGTCTTTAATGTTTTTCATCACGTAGAATATATTTTTCTATAAAAAGTAGTCGAGGAATTTTTTTTCTTCATTTCTCCTTTCAGTTTTCAAGAGTCTGGTCCTTCCTAGAATCATAGAATAGCTTGAGTTGTGACGGACCTTTAAAGGTCACCTAGTCCAACCCACTTGCAATAAACAGGGACATCTTCAACTGGATCGGGTTGTTCAGAGCCCCAGTCTGACTTTGAATGTTTCCAGCAATGGGATGTCTACCACCTCTCTGGGAAACCTGTTCCAGTGTTTCACCACCCTCATCATAAAAAAATTCTTCCTTATGTCCAGTCTAAGTCTACCCTCTATTAGATTAAAACCTTTACACCTTGTCCTATTGCAACAGACCTTACTAAAAAGTGTGTCCCTGTTGTTCTTCTAAGACCTCTTTAATTTTGAAAGGCTGCCATAAGGTCTCCCCAGAGTCTTTTCTTCTCCAGGATGAACAACTCCAACTTTCTCAGCCTGTCTTTATAGGATACGGTCTCCAACCCTCTGATCATCTTCAAGGCCCTCCTCTGGACTCTCCCTAACTGGTCCATGTCTTTTCTGTGTTGAGGATCACAGAGTGGGGTCTCACCAGACTGGAGTAGAGAGGCAGAATCACTTCCTTCAGCCTGCTGGTCATGGTTTTTTTTAATATGGTTGTCTTTCTGGACCACAAGTGCAGATTGCCAACTCATGTCCAGCCTCTCATCCACCAGCACCCCCAAGTCCTTCTCGGCAGGGCTGCTCTTGATCTGTTCATCCCCCAGCCTGTGTTGATACCAGGGGTTGCCCCAACCCAGGTGCAGCATCTTGCACTTGGTCATGTGGAACCTTGAGAGGTTCACAGGGCCCACTTCTCAAGCTTGTCCAGGTCCCTCTGGATAGCATCCCATCCTTCAGGTATGTCAACTGCGCTGCTCAGCCTCCTGTTGTCTGCAAACTTTCTGAGGGTGCACTCAATCCCTCCACCTATGTCATTGATAAAGACATTAAACAGTACTGGTCCAAGTGCAGAGATCAGCTTTCCTGCCTCCCCTTCTACAGGTCCCTCTTTGGTGGGATTCTCACATTTTCTGCTCATGCCTTTCCTTCTTCACCTTAGGCTTTTCCTCTGCATATTGCAGATGTGCATGCTAAATTGAACACACAATTCTCTAGTATATACAAACCAGCCCTTGAGGTTAGGAGCAGCTGGGATGGGCAGGACTTCAGACACACCTTGGCACAGGGAGCTGAGCTTCACCATTTGGAAAGTTATTTTATAGCTGCTGCCAGAATTTTTTGCTCCCTTAGGCCAGGGCTTCAGGCAAGCGCAAAAATCTTCAAACAGGAAGTCTTTTCTTCTCTTTATGATTCCACCTGCTCTCAATTTCCTTGAAAATACTGCAAGAACATTCCCTTGGTGGGAAAATTCGTTACTTCCATTCCGGTCCTGACTGCAATAGGTGCAAAAACCAAACAAAATGGAAAACAATATGTCAGTGACTATTAAAATCAGGATGGTTTTGATTGTACACTGTTGATTTCTCTCTTGGGTAAAGTTTTGTGCCTGTTCTGTGCCTTTTTGTTTGAGTGGATAGTCCATCAGTTCACACAGCCATAGAGGAGACTGTAATTCAAGTAACACAAATTCAGAGATATCTCTTGCTTCTCTTGGCCACAACTGTTGCAAGAATAAACATAGGTACCAAATTGTGTATTCTTTGGGGGTAAAATGTGAAAAATAGAAAGCGTTCCTGTGGTTCTGCACAGGAAGATGAACCATCGCCACTCCTGCAGCTGCCTGTCATTGAACATGGTTTTGTGTTATTGGGCTTCTGGAAGAAAGAGGTACATCACAAGAACTGCTGTCTTTCTGAGTGTATGAATAAACACTGTGGAGAACTTAGGTATTGTTGTTTCCTTGCTACAAGACAATCAGGAGAAAATTTGGCAGTAATTTTCTTAGTCAAAGGGAAGGAAGAGGGAGCCTTTGGATGACAAGCAATGCTTGCATGGACATTTCACACACGCTTCATGTATTCATGGATGCTTTCCTTAGAAGTTACAGCAAGAGAAAGACTATCGATAGAATACCCCACAGGTATCCACAGTGAAATGCTGCACAAGAACTACAATACCTCTTCAAAGAGTCTGGTATTTACAGAAAGGCCTTTGCAACATTACTACATGATTTTTCATAGTGAACACAAATCAAGAGAGAGGGAAAAAGAAAGCTTTTCTGCACATTATCTTCAGTTTCCTAAACCAACCAACATGTAATTACCAGTGTATAAAGGCTGAAAGTGCATTCTAGGATTCACTGAGACCAGTTCCTGATAAAGGCATTTTCACAACTGAACCTGACAGTCTGTTAACTCGTTTTAAATGTGAATGTTGTTTGGATCCTGGCACCTTTACTCCAGGTCATCAGCTGACATAATTGAAGGGGACAGGAGCACTAATTAGGATGCAAAGATTGTCGTTCTTGTT